ACTCATGTAAAACGCGTCTCATGCACGTGCAAAATTATACCTGCCAGCTAAACCCTCCCAGTTTCAGTCTCACCCACCCTCACAGTCACCCTCTAATTTTACCAGAAACACAACTTTATTAAATACATCAATTTAAAATTAAAATATAAAACCACTTAACTCGCCCCACGGCGACACTGGGGGGGTTGGATTTAAGGAGCTGGTTCAGTCCGTGAAACACCGTTTGTTGCTCACCGTTCCATAAGTTCAACGCTCACAAGGACTTCTGCACATGACAGTCTCAGCCACAGAAAGAGAAGACAGCAATAGAAGCCTGTTCAAAACGGGCACGATCCATACGCTGGCACGCTCTAACAGCTCAGCAGTTAAATGGCACAGACAATAAAGAACGACGGCACTCCTAACTCCCCGTCCCTACTTACTCTCACCCCGTCCCCGCTATCTATCTATCTTCATCGCCGGTGGCCCTAAATGACAGCGAACGACATTATCTGAGTACCGCCATCCTATTTCGGCTTGTAAATCGACCATCAGTCAGCCTGCATCCATTCTCTTTTACACTCTTTTCAATCCTTCTCACCCCAGTCTGTTTGAACTCGGCACTGTTTTCGTTCGGGAAACGGTCTGTAAAAAGCATTTCACATGTACGGGGTGGGCAGGGCTCAAGATTTAAACATTTCCACATAACAAAATTTCACAATATTTCCTTGACATATCATCTCTATATAGAGGAAAAAATGTGCCAAAGTTCAAAAATCTTTTGAAGATATTGCTGAACATTTATTTAACCCTTGCAAAAGTAAATTTGTCATCTCGGTTTTTAGTGATAAACACATCTGTTTATTATTTTTTAACTTTTTCACAATTATTTTAATCTCAAAACTTTAGATAGTTCTGCTTTGCTTCTTATGCTTTGCTACAAAAGTGTTGTGTTGTGCTCTCCCCTACACACTGAAAGACCATGAATGCATTTTCTGCGCTTAACCCCGTGCTGAGTTTAACAGCACAGCAGATTACATCTCACTGGAGTGAGCCTGCTTCACGTTCTTATGGACGTTTCATATTTTAACATCTGTAAACAAAGAAATTAAAACTTAAATATTAGTAGTGAAATTTTACAGTTGTACTCTAAAATAAAATGGTTATTTTTCTTAAATACTTAATTTCTGTCATATTAAACTTTTCATCAAGATTAGGCTTAAAGTAATGTCAGTTGTTTTTTTTATCTCAAATATTTTGGTGGGTGGTGGAATAGATTGTACTTGTCTAGGTGGGTCGTGGAATGGAAAAGTTTGGGAACCCCTGTTGCAGAGCACAATTTTATGATGCCACATTCAAATAAAGGTTTAAAAATAAAAATGTTAATTGCCACATTCAAATAAATATTTTAAAATGCAGGCTAAGAGTCACTAATTAAACTTTCTGGTTTAGTCCCGGACCACGATTTCTACTGAGGGGGAAACTGAAAATGTTTCTGCTCATGTATGGCATTAAAAAAATAAATAAAAAGGCATTAAAAAGCATTAAATTAGATTTGATGATACCTGCAGAAACCCTGGTGCAGATCTCACACTGAACAAACTCTGGTGTATTGAGCGGATTCTGAGTAAACGCCTCTGATTGGCCGTTGTGTTCACGCACTCAACAAATAAGTCTGTGATTGGCTACAGTGATCAGCGCTGCAGAAACACACTGTAAATAGAAACCACTGATGCTCTTCACAGACACACAAACACACACAGCAGCGTCTGTCAGCGGGAACCGAACCGAGCCGCTGCTGCAGAAAGACTGCTACCATTACACTTTAACACTGAAACACAGCTTTCACTATATTAGTGAACACATCTGTGAATAGTGAGCACATTTGTGAATAGTGAGCACATTTGTGAATAGTGAGCACATCTGTGAATAGTGAGGAGATTCTGGACTTTGCAAATACAGTCAAAGCTGTAAACACACAGACATCGTCACTGTTGTGTTGTTCTTGATGTTTCTCTCTTCTTGTGTTCAGATGCCTGTGATCTCACACTGGATCCAAACACAGCACACACTGAACTAATTCTGTCTGATGAGAACAGGAAGATCACACGTGTGGAAGATCATCAGCCGTATCCTGATCATCCAGAGAGATTTGATGATGTTCCTCAGGTTCTGAGTGTTGAGAGTCTGACTGGACGCTGTTACTGGGAGGCTGAATGGAGCGGAGATTATGCTGAAATATCAGTGTCATATAAAGGAATCAGCAGGAAAGTAGGGAGTGACTGTATGTTTGGATTCAGTGACAAATCCTGGAGTCTGTGGTGCACTGATCACAGTTTCTCTGTCCGTCACAATAATAACAGAACTGATATACCCACCGTCCGTTCATCCTCTAATAGAGTAGGAGTGTATGTGGACGTGTCGGCCGGCTCTCTGTCCTTCTACAGCGTCTCTGACACACACACACTCACACACTTACACACATTCATCACCACATTCACCGAACCCCTCTACGCTGGATTTACAGTTTATTATGATTCCTCATTGTCTCTGTGTGATATTAAAGAGCCT